CTCATGCATTCCATAGAAAAAGGAATTGAAGGTATGTCAGCTATTCTCATGTTTATACAATATAACACCTTTATTTATTGCTTGCTTTATTAATGCTTAAGATGATTATTTCTTAAAATGTACTCTATATTTAAAATGTATATGCTGTTGTGTTTATAATTATTTTAACTTAAATGCTGTTTTTGTGGATGGTTGATAAAGAGTAATATAATATTTAAATGTTATCTGCTATTTTTTTTTTTCCTTAATTTGTGTCATAATATCTGTATACAATTTTTTTAAATTTTTCTTAAATTTACTGTCAGTTTTCTATTATTTAGAATGCAAATATTATTACTGGTTATTGGTTTATTTATTGGTTTTTCGTATTACTCTAAATTTATGTAAATTTGCAAATTATTTTCTTTATGTGAATTTTCCTTTCAAAATCATAAATTATCTATTTTATTCCATTCTTTGTCGAGCAGCTGATTATTGTAATTTCTCATAATTTAGTTATGTACATGATTATTAAGCATGTTTCAGTTTCTTGAATTTAATTTTTTTTTAAGTTTCGGAAGTAATTAATATTATAAATAATTTTTGTTATTGTCATGTGCCTTTTTTAGAGATATTTAATCATTTAAGATGTGTCCAATATTACATAGAAGTTTACTATATAAATTTTACTTTTTTTACAATTATATAATTAATTTTTTGAGATTTTTAAATTCTGTTTTATATAAGGATTGTAAAAATGCAAAGTATTGCAACTCTATACATAAATTTTACAGAACAAAATAGTGTATGTATGCACTAGAATGTGTGCATGCTTTGATGTTTTTGAATTGCTGAAGTATAATTTTAACAAATCTATTCAACACTGATCATATTTTCTTCTTCAGATCAAATCTAGGGTAATAATTGAATAAAGTATAAAATGCTATAATTTGTAATGAAATCAACTAGTAATTTTAATGATGAGAAAAATGTTGGCATAGTTTTAAAATATAGTTATTTTAAGCATATAAATTTACCATTCTGTTTGCTTTTTTTTTTTTTTTTTTTATTACAAATGATACTATAATTTTCAAATAGAAAAGAAGTAGTCAATGAGTTGAGAAGAAAGTATGCTATTACTAAAAGATTAAATTAGCTCAAAGTGCTGCTAAATTTTAATTTAAGTTTAAAAGTAATGTCAGATCCAACTGATCAGCAAGAAGACATGAAATTTACCAAGTAAATTAATGCATGAACTACTTTAAAGCAAAAATCTAAGATACTAGGACATTAATCTGAATGATGGAATTAAAAAATCTAAGATACTAAGACATTGATTTGAGTCATGAAATTTAAAAAATGGTATGTAATTTTGCAAAAAATTAATCTCCCTTGTTTGGAGCTTCATAACAGAATTTGTCCAGGACAAAGTGTTTTGAAGCTCCATACTTGGTCGATCAGTAAGAGAGTCAAGACAAATTTCATTCTGACATATTCACTGAGACTTTTAAATGCAATACTTAATATATTAGTTCAATAATTAGTAGAACTAGTAGTCTCGTTGAGTAGTCTCTTTTCCCCATTTGTTTTAGCTTTCTAACACAAAAATGAAAACAGAAATATTTATATGTATACAAAAACACTTCCCTTGACAAGTTCTGTTATGAAGCTCCAAGCAAGGGAGATTAATTTTTTGCAAAATTACATACCTTTTTTTTTTTTTAATTTCTTCATTGAAATCAATGTATCTTAGCTTTTTTAATTTCTTCATTCAGATTAATGTCCTAGTATCTTAGATTTTTGCTTTAGTTCATGTATTAATTTACTTGGTAAAATTCGTCTTCTTGCTGATGAGTTGGATCTGACATTACTTTTAAACTATAATTTTCAAGTAGTAGATTTAGAAATAATTCGAATTAATAAGACATGAAAGACTAACTATAAATATGAAAAGAATTAAAAATATTTAGGAGCACAATTTTAAGGTTTACTTCATGTGTTAAAATTATGACAGAAATCTATGTATGTACATTTATGCTTTTTTTTTTTTTTTTTTTTTTTTTTTGTGTGTGTGTGTGTGTGTGTGTGTGTGTGTGTGTAATATACAATCTACAAAGATTTTAAAAATACAATAAAATATTGATTTGGTTCAACTTCTTGCTTTGAATAAGCACCTTAGTGTTCTCCATAACTCTCATTATATTTTAAACGATAAAAGTTAAAAATGCAAGCATTTACTAAAAATATAATAATAATTTACTTCAAACTGATAATTTGAAATAAATTTAACTATGAAACATCTCACATGTATTATTCCAGAATTGATATATTAAAATAATTTGCTCCACCTATTGCCTTCAGTCATTGCCCCTACCAATTTTGCAGAATTGTTTTGCTACAAAGAACAGGAACCTGTATCTAACTGTCCTCAAAACTGATCTGAGTTTTAATCAAGAACGTACATCAGAATAAAGTTGCTATTTTGCCTAGTTTTAAATTTTACGTTGCTGTGTTTCTCCTCTGATTTGTTTTAAATATTAGTTTAAAAATATACCACACAGTCTGCTGACCCAGTGTATGTCTTCATTTAGCTCTTGTATGCATTGAATTTGGCTTCTATGAATTTAGCAAGGTTTATTCTTTATCATTTTAATTTCATTCAGAGAAATCTTGATAGTCTGAAAATTATATTTATCGTGACAGAAACTAATCAAATTTAGTTTAATTTCCTAAATCAAATATTATTTTTCAGTGAGATTTTAGTTCTGTTCTCATTATGAATAATATAATCCTTCAATCTGGATACTTCTCTTTAAGAACTTGTTACAATTAAATAATGGATGTCTTTTATTCTTATTGTCATTAAACTTAATATTTTCTAACTTGGGTGAGCATTTATTTTAGAAACTGAAAGAATTAAACTTCAAGTTATTCTGCATTTTTTAATCTTATTGTATTGAAAGATAGGCTGTACTGAAGTATTTTCCTTAATGCTAGTTTAAATTACTGTTAATTTCAAGTTAAATACTAGCAGGAATTTTATCTCTTAACTATTACTTTCCTATATTTTTTATCATTTGATGCTAGTTTTTAGTAGTCTGTTTAATTAAGAATTAAATTAATTCCATTGACTCTCAAAAAAGTTATCAAAAATCTTTATTATATTTCCTTCAAAAAGTGATTTTATTGAAGTGTGTATTTGACGTAGCATAGAAGTATAGCATCAAGAGTAAAAAATATTGAATAGTAAGGTTTTTGGTAGTAAAATTTCTTTAATATTGGGATATTTATTTCATTCCATCAATTATTAATATTAGAAGCCTATTTACATTTTCATTCCAATTATAATTCTTGCCTAGAATCAGTTTTTATGGAAGAATAAAAAGACAGTCATCATCCTATAAAACTGAAATTCTGCTCTGTTAAAAATAAAAAATAACTGCAGTTATAATCAGCCTTCATAGCAGCATTAATTTCTAAAATTTGTACATCTGATGAAATAATATTTCTTTATTTTAGACAAAAATATCCTTTTATTATAAGATCAAATGAATTCGTTTGTATTTAATGTGTAATTAAGTGAACCAGAAATTAAAAATGAAATTTATATATATAGCATCATAATTGTTTTTGTGTGATAAACAATTTTGTTTAAAATGCTGTATGCCTTTTGCATTGGAACATTACCATCTAAAAATACTCAAAAAATCTCATTTAAAATCTGTTTAGAAATACTTTCCAAAAAAATTGTCAAAACATTAAGTATGTCTTTACTTAAGATTCATAATTTTCTCTCTGCCATGTAAAAGATTAAAGCCAAATATTTCATGCATGATGTAACATTTGGAATCATCATATTATGCTGCAGGGGATATTTTATAGATATGGGTGTTATATGTCATTTATCAACATTTGCTTGCTGGTAAATTCTAGGTGTCAGAAGAATGAGTCCTTGGGTTAGTGCTGGCTGTTGGATTTAGTAAGTGCCAGTGCCATGTTATGTGCACTATGAATATGCCATTTTAGAACAAACATCAGTATTGTATGAAGAGAGTGGGCCCCTGTAAATAATACAAGAATGGAAAACTGGCTTCACTAAAATATAATGGTAATCATCTATTGAAGTAGAATATTGTATTAAATCTCTTTCTGAGAGCTGGTGTTGCTGAAGATATCAGTTGATGCATTATGGTGTGTAAGCTATATATCATGGGCTTTGGTACTTTGCAACCAATATAAATGTCAGTGTTCATGCCATGCTATCATAATCTGCTTCAGTTATGCCTGAGAACATCACTATTGGATCATGAATAACTAGCGTTTGAAGTTTCATCAGATGAAACATCTATTTTAAGCTAATAAGTGACCTTAAATATGGAAGAAAGTACATGGCAATATGAATCCATCTTATCAACAAATTTTCTGCCATAATGTATATTTTATTCGTACCACTTCTATTGGTATGCATTGTTGTCTTTCTTGAAGGAGTTGGGAACTTCATTGTAGGGTGTTTGCGTCATTGTAGGGTCATACAAATGTCATGTTATGTTGTAGTGACAGTATTTTCAGCAATATGCTGTAAATATCTTTGTGCATGAGTCACATGCAACTGATTTGGTGAATATTCGGTGGCTTCCAAGTTTTCTGTAATGCTTTCCAGATTTTTAACTTTATTCAGCATACTGTAAAGCATTATGATCTTTTGACTCTATATCTTTACCGTTATTATTATTGAAAGAAAAATTTTGCGTCTAGAAAAGTAATGGAGAAGTTTCTTAAAAAAGTTTATAATATCATAAAGATAGTTCTGTGAGTGTGTGCATGCATATATGTGTATATGTATTTTTTCAGTGATGAGGAGCACAAAAGTATTACGAATGTTATGGTAATGGTGATATAGTTTGTCATAGTGAATCTTGTATTCAAATAAAAATACTTATTGTTTAATTACCTTATTTTATTATTACTGAGATTTTCTTATCAAATATGTATATTTTATCTTTCAAACTTTATTTGACTAGTCCTGCTGAACTGAAAACAATTACATTGGAACGAGGATCTACTGGCCTAGGCTTCAGTATAGTCGGTGGATATGGCAGCCCTCATGGAGATCTTCCCATATATGTAAAGAAGATTTTCGATAATGGGGCCGCAGCTAAAGATGGTCGACTGAAACGAGGTGATCAAATTCTAAGTGTCAATGACCAAAGTTTGGAAGGGTTGACTCATGAAGAAGCAGTCAAAGTTTTAAAAAAAGTTTCTGGAACTGTCATTCTTTCAGTGCTGTCTTAGTGAAAACTGTCTATTATTATTAAGTTTATCGAAGCAAATGAAATGTCTTGTAAATTAAGCTTGTAAAGATATTGTTTGTACATTCCTGTTAAGAGTGAGAATTTTGGTTGCACACTGAAACGTTTGGTGCTTTTATCTTGTTAAATATACATATACACCTGCACAAACCTCACATTTAAACTGCTACAGGCAGCTGTATAAAGACAATGACATGAATCATTACATGAAATCAAACAAAGTCTGGGGAATGTATTTTCTGTAGAATCAAATATACACAAGAAGTCCATAACTTGGAAATATAAATGGCTATTGGAAGTATTGAATCTTGAGGTGGCTCAAATAATTTTTATCTCAGGTACAGTTGAGAAGTACATCATGAGAAGGATTGACCAACTCTGCATACATCAAGAAGCATGTAAAATTGCTTGAAACTTTCTGTGTGCAGAATATAATATTGTGCCTTTTTGTTTTCTTCATGCATTAAGAGACTATGTCATTGTCAGTGCTGAATATATAAATTATTAAAGATTTTTGCATAGTAGGGCAACGTTGCAATTCTATCTACATTCAGTCGTATGAATGAAATGCATGTAGGTAAATTAGATGACTGCTGAAATTATCTTCCCCCTCCCACAAATGATATTAGTTTTCAAGTGCAATGAAACATTTCAAAAATGCATCAGTCTGTAACTTGATTATTTAAATTAAAATGATTTAAATATCAATGTCCAGTTTTATTATTATTGTTGTTTCTGTATAGTATGTTTTTTAATATTCTTTTGTAGTTAAGTATGGATTCAAATGATACTATTTTATGAGAAAAAAAAACATGTTCTAAGTTTTCTATAATTATTCAAAATATTTTATCTTTGGAAATAAAATACAATTTAGAACATGATGTATCTTTTTGCTTTAAATATTTGATTGTTTAAAACCCTTATGTTTCACATGATGCAGTATTTAAGTAGTTCAGGCAGAAAAGAAATTTGGTGGAAGTTATTCATTTTTAAAAAATGTAATTTTTAGAATTTTGTAGGAACTTTTGATGGAGGTAGACTATCAGGAATAAAATTTTGTATCCCCCAGTAAGTGCCATTTTTGTTACAGAATATCAAAAACTGTCTGTCCATTTAATATGTGTGTAAACAATATCTCTTGTAAAATGAAGATAATGTTATGGAAAGAAATTTTCTCAAAATCCATGGTCATATACAACTAACTATTACTGACTATATTTTTCTTTTAGTACAGTTAGAAAGAGTTCACTGTCATCATTTTGTATTATTATTTTGAAGTTGTATTTTACATAAAGTAACAAATTGTTTTTTCTCTAAAGATATGTACATTTTATACCTTAAATTAAGATTTTTAAAAATTATTTTTAATGTTACAAATACTTATGAAGAATTTCAGTATTATTTATCTATATCTTATTTTAAGATTCCTCCACCATTACCAACACAGGTCAAATTAAATTACTTATTATTAGAAATACTTATATCGAGAAATAACTTATTTATGTTATTATTCCGTAATTATAACAATTAAAATTTCCCTCAGTATTGTTAGTAAATAAGTGTTCTTAAAATCTTCTGAACTTCACATATGTATGTATAAATTGCTTTTTTCCAAGGTGGAGAATAACACTTTTAATAGACATGTGAAATTTTTCATTCTGATTTTTAATTTCAGAGTATCTATTTGGTAGAAGTACTTAGATAATATTTTATCTTCATATGTTTCTGCATATCGACTCACTTATTTAGTATGTTTCAGTACCTAGCTTTTCAAAATATTTATTATATAGGCAAACTGTTATTTAGTTTCAGAACTTCTAACAGTTTTCATTCCCTCTCAAACAACCTTCAACATCAAGAAATTTAAATTATAATATCAAGGAATCAGACATTGTTTTGTGTATGGCTATCACTGCATAAAAAAACAACGTAAACTGCTTTTACTATAACATCTCTATAAAAACTCTTTGTATGATAACAGATTTTAAAAATTCTGAAAAAAATATTAAATCGTGTGTTTATTAGAATTACAAGATCATAGAAAACAGGTTATAAATCTGAAGTATATTTGTGTGCCTTTTATATTACCTATATCTTAAAGTATGTATCTTCAGCTTGTTTTCTATTATGCTTGTACAAAATGTTTATGTACAAAAATCATTTCAGGTTCTTTATATATATATATCCATATATAAAATGACCGAATGCTCTAGATAAATATGTTTTTCTCCTGAAATTTGTGATTGTCTATAAAGTTGTTGAAAATGATATAAAAATATAAACCATGGAATGTATTTATATTTAAGTTTTGAACCAAACAAAGGAAAATATTCTTAATAGAAGTAGAAATGATGAAATATTACTTGAGTAAAATTTGTTTTATCATTTTGTTGCATTTTATTATTTTTTTTAAATGGCATAAATTGCTGATATAGTATAAAACTTTTAAATACTCTCAAAATCATTTAGCAAAATTTTACTGCAGTATTTATTTCTCTTTTGTTAATACCTGCTAAACTCATTGTAAATGCAAATCTTTGTAAGTACTTGACTTAAAACTATTGCCATGCCGCTGCTTGTCCTGCTCATTAAATAAGATAAATACATAAAAAATATGTTAATAAGTTTTTTTAAAAAATTATTTACAAAATTTTTAGCCCTGAGCATTTGCAATACCTAAAAATTTTGTTGCATTTAAGTAAATAGAAATAGCAGTAAAAATTTTATCACATAGAAATGAAATGTTTATTTAAACTTACCAAATGGAAAATCTGTAGGCAAACCCACAGAGTAAAAAATCTGTTGAGCTTAGAATACTTGTAATTTTGTCTGATAAATAAATGAATTAGTTTATACGGATATTTTTAAAGAAATAAAAGCAAACAATTTCAGATGTTATTTTTCTTTCATGTTTGCCTCCATCTTTGTGTGTAATGTGATTTGAAATAATGAGATTATGTTTAATTATTAAGTTTTAATGCTGATTTTAATTTCATATTTTTTCATATATTTAAGTTTTATGAAATAAGTATTGCAAAGTTCCCTGCTCTCTCTTTTTCTATTGCTTTTAGTCCAAGTCTTGACTTTTTTTTTAATTTAAACCAAAGATTAAATTTTTTTAATTTAAACCAAAGATAAATATTATTGCATTATAAATATCTGATAACTTGTCATCATTAATGTCCTGGAAAATTCATCATTATGTCATTTGAATGTAGACTCATATTTATCAAATATAAAAAATAAAGAACTACTTTTTAAAGTAAATTATTTAAATTACTGCTGCTTATTTTGCAATGAAATGCATTTTGAGGAGCCTACTTCTTTAACATAAAGCTGTTTGTTTTGGGATCTCTTCCTGCTAATTTTTGCAATATAATTATAAGTTTTCATTAGTGTTTAGTTTAATGAAAGTTGTATATATTTAATCATTATGGCCTTTGTATGCTGATTTATCAGCTGAAGCACTAATTTCTGAAGATGTAAAAATTTAAGTAAATGAAAAATATATCTATGCAAATCATTGTGTACAGAAAGCATACTTGTACAGTGAAATATCTTAGATGCACATTTTACATTTCTAATAATTGTTATCATTCATATATATATATATATATATATATATATATATATAATGAATTGCACAATAGAAAGGTAAATTCATTTCTTCTCGCTCCGAAGAAAGAAACTACCATGCATTGTAAATATATATATATCTAGGAAATCTGTATGCAAATGAAGCTTATAGAATATTTTTTGTGGAAAAAAATCTATTTTTAATTCTTCAAAACTGTTATGTCTGTTGTAACGTTTTTGAACTCTTGTTTCTAGTTGCCAGTCTTTCATCAACGAAAATTTTAATTCTAATTGTAAAGATGGTTTTCAATAATTTTGAGTAACAGTGTTTCGGGGATTTTGGATAACCCCTTCCTTCAATGCCTGCATATGAAAGAATTGGATTGTTTTAGCAAAAGTAAAATGTGGTGTTTTTATACTTTTTGACTTCACTTTCATCTTAATGTGCTATTATAGAATAAAGTTGAGTAATATTCAAAGTAGAGTAAGCTTTTAACAATTTCACAATGTCTCAGCATTTGTGAAAAGATCTTCATTTTTATTGCTGCTAAAGTTTAGTGGTAGCAAAATTTCCTTATTTAGATTATTAAGTTATAGCCATATACATAAATTTTTATATAGGTAATGAAGTACTAAAAAAATATTAATTTTTTAAACAAAAGTTTAGCGAAATGTTCATTTGTAAACGTTTTCGTTAGATCAGTTTATTTTTGAGTACTTTGTTTTTACTCCCCCCCTCCCATTTTACATTTATTTAGCATACCAAAAATACATGTTCATAACCAGAATTATAAAGCTACAAATTTATTTGCCTTAGCTACTGAATAACTCATTCAGTCTCTTATTGCACGTGTATATATCATCGTGTGTTGTGTGAATATACTATTTGTATGCAGTCAGTCAAACTTGCTTAAGATGTTTTTTCTGTTTTTTTATTTATAAGAAGCTTTCGAATATAATTTTCTAGCAGAAAAAACTCTAGAATTACTAAGATTGTTATAAATTGCAAATGTATGTTTAGTTGTAATTAAATACTAGAAATCTGACTTTTTTAATATATGTAATAGTGAGATTGCATGTTTACTGTCAAATAAATTTAAAAAAGTTCCACACATTATTAAAAGAGGGATAGAAGTACCAGAAGACTCAAATATTTGAGCTAGTTGATCAATTAGGTACTGTTCTAATATCGCCACCGGATTCAGAAATGTGTGAATGTATGCATTCATGCTTACATGATGCATACCTGAACACATAAATCCATCTATATCTACATGCACACATAGATTTCTGAATCTGGTCCTGATAACAGAACAGTACCATACCATAAATTATGTATCTGTTAAAACTGCATTCTTTTATAATTTTTCAAATTCACTTTTATATATATATATATTGTTATCAGTTTTTAAAAACTCTTATATTTTATGTAATGCTGCAACTATTTAAAGTATCTCAGCATTTTATGCAGTGTGACATCTGTCATTGCATAGAATGCTAGGTATTTTATTTTAGCCAGGTTTCTTACTTTCTTGGTAACATAAATTAAAGCTTAAAACTTTATTAATTTTGAACAGTATAGAAAACTTCATAGCAATATTCAATAAAATATCACTTTACGGTGATTATACGTTGAATTGGTTTACAAAAATTTGATTTTTCAGTCCTTTATTTATTTAAGAAAAAAATTTTAAGTGTTTAAAATATTATTCAAGTATTTATGTCTTGTACATTCTGATGTATTGCTTCTGCAATGTGAAAGTCTGCTTTAAAATAAGAAGACTGCCAAGAACTTCTTAAATATGTTTGACTGCTATTCACATGCATTTCATTTGAAATTTATGATAATGTTTGATAAAATGTTGAATGGTCAATATCTCAAGTCCAAATAATAAAACAATTATGTTTCCCTAGTTTCAAACTATTATAATTGTTACAAATAATAATTTATTGGAGGCTTTCTAGAGAAAAGGCTTCATTCCAAAATAAGGCATCCTTTAACAGGATTCAAAATTTTTTAGCAAGCAAATGCGCTGAATGGGAAAGCCAAAACGGCGGCGCACTAAAAATTTCATAAAAGAACAACTAATCAGTAAAATTTAAAAAGCATGAAATAACGGTAATAAAACACTTTTTTTTTTAGATATCCTTCTGTCATTTTTTTCACTGTTTTCTCCCCATGTACACAGCGATCTGTTTTCACTAAAAAAAAACATAATTGCAGGAACTCGGCATCGCACATAACCTGGGCATTGCGCACCGACTAAAACAGCCATGTGCTATGCACATAACTAAGTTGCCATATAAATACTTTTGGGCAACATTGTAGGTGTGACATAGCTATTTCGACGACATACTACGTAGCATCATGAATACTTCTTCGCGAGTCTTCGATAGAAATGCATATAATCAGAAAGTACATTTATTCTCTGATATAATGGCCACTTTTAGAGACCATCATCCATAGAAGGTCCTTACCATGACAGTTTTTGCTGTATTTAAAACTTAATCTAAAAACCATTATTAAATAAAAATTTTGTTTATATAAAAATACTCTTTAATTTTAATTAGTAAATATGGATACATGCAAATGAAAAAAAAGTGTAAATATTCAAAATGTCTCACTGTACGTTCCTGGAAGGTAGCAATTACGGTATAACGTTAAGTAAAATGGATTGCCAAAATTTATGCGTGAAGCAAAAAAAATGCTTTAACTTAGAATTGAAAATAAATAAAGATTCAAATTAAATTTTATATGACACTTGAATATAAAGGTAGGACTTGATTATGTGGCACATTTTCAAATCAATAAATATGCTGAATTTTTCGGAGGACATATATTTTTTTTTTAATTTTGGGAAAACTTCCCTTTCTAATTGCCTAAAAGATATATAATGTCACAGTAACAGTGCATCTCTACTTTGTTTATTGCTACTTGGGTACTGAATACAATTTTTAATCAGTACATTTATTTGGTAAGTTTATATGATTTTAGAATGTGTTTTATTTTTCATGTTGTTAATTGTTGCTAATGCTGTGAAGTAATTCATTTATTTTTTAACAGAATTTCTGAAACAGATTCAAGACATAAACAGTCTTGAATACTTTACATGATTTGACTGTTCATTTCATTAATATTATTTGATAAATGTATCTGTATGTCTTTGACTATTTTAAATTTTTCCTGTATTTGTATAATTAATATTTTCTGATTATTTTTTACTTTTGAAATCAACTGCCATATTTGTATCTGTGAAGGCCAGCAGCAGATTAAAATCATTTCACAAGCATACGTTGTAGATAATATGAATTTTAATGCTATAATATGATTCCTATGATATTAAAATGAATTTTTACTGTTTACATTGGTATTTTCTTTCTAGTGTTAAGATGCTTTAAAATAAGTAAACATTGCTGGTTGCAATTTTAAACCTCGCTGAAATTATTTTTATCCATGAATATCTTCTGTATTTCGGTTAGATGATATCAAAGGTTCTGCTTGGGCTATTTACAAAGTTTCAATGGTTATCTACACCAGATTTTTACGCATTAAACTCTAATAAACTAATTAAACACATTAAAACAATTTTTATATGAATAGATTTATTAGATTATGAAATAAGTTAAAACCGTTTACAGTGATGAAGAATTAATAAATACAAATATACACAAAATACAAATAAATATTACCACATCACATCCTCGTTAAGGATTTTAATGCAGGCTAAAAGATTATGAGTCTAATTGTAGTATACTATTTAAAATTTAGGAAATGCATTTTTTTGCATACGAACTACGATGTGCCTT